ATAAGATGTATTCCACATAGAAATGTTATCTTATTGTTAATATTTTCATGAAGTCTACTAGTTACACTGTCTAGCATTGAATATAAAAAATGTTCAATCACTTTTCCTTTTCCCTACATCCCTGTTGACATGCTCCTTCCCAGGCCCTGAGCCAATTCTCATCTCAGGAGTGGGGTCTAGAGGTCCATCTGTGCCGACCATCAATCTCCCATGTTATACCAACCTGATGCTAGATCTGTTAGCCCTGAACCAACCTTGTGATGCATCTTCCTCTGTCCTGTGTGTCCTAGTGCCCAGGCATAGGTTTCTACTTTATTTCTTAAAATCCTAGTTTGTTCCTATCAGAGTCATCCCTCCCTGGGTACCGTTACACTGTTCCCCCTATCCTTGTTCTGGACAGCCGTAGGCCCCTCAAACAGGAATCTATCCCCTTAACTTAGGATTTTGGGTCTTTCTTAACTGTGGAACTGGCCTCTTTGACATCAACCTAACCCATTTCCCTTTTGCTCTGTGCCACTTGCTCACTTTCTACCTTTGGAAACCCCAGTGGTAATTGTTACTTGACTGATATGCCTTTCTCTGGCTGCCCTCCCATACCTGTCCTCTCGCAGTCAGAGCCTACAGATAGTTCAGTTGCCAATATATGTCCTGTGCTAACATTTCAGTTTTATGCCCTCTCCAGGCTCTCTCCTCCTACTCTGCATCATGCAACAATGAAACATGTTTGTATCCCATGTTATTAAAAACATCTTTCAAGTCTTTGATTTCGTTCTCAGTATGACTGCTGTTGGCGTATATGAAAGCCTCTGATTTGTGTGTATTGATTTTATATCAAGTCAAATAATATAACCGTTTCAAAATAATTATAATATGCAAGACTACATATATTCTTCATCCTTATAATTTTACTGTAAGATATTTTTAGTTTGATAAATGACTATCTTTGCCTTTTAATTGCATATCTGTGGACATAGAGCCTGCAAGTACAAAAAAGAAAAGTGAACTTTGAAAAAGTTTCTTATTCTTTTCATTAGGTCTTCAATCATGACCATATGCTCTGCAATGATATATTTAGAGAAGCATTTAATCAGAAGTTTTAGAAGCCCTTTCCCCCAGTTGAAGTCCTAGAGAACATGCTGTTTATCAGCTTGCTAGTAGCTCATTCAAACAAATTTGAACACTTAATAAATCAATCTACAAGAACTTCAAAATCAACCCTGTTCAAAAAATTTTATTTTTAATACAAGACAATTAGAGAAAGCTTACGGTATTCAGAAATGAAAATGCAAAAGACAAAGTTAATTTGCTGTTAGCAATCCTTTGCTTCCTTCCCGGAACATGGAGGGGTTAATTAGAAAGTGAAATCTTACTCAGTTAAAATTCTTTGGGAAATTTTGTCTTCTTAGAAAAAAGTAGTATACATGTAAAAGACAACTTACTATTTAAAAGTTAAAATGCTGGTAAGTTAGAACTCTTTAATGGGCCCTCTCCTGATTTTCCATTAAATGATCCATGAAGACATACAGTAATTCAAAAATTCAACAGCAATGGAAAAGAAAGATAACAGCCAGCTGTCTACATGAATGCTATAAGGAATCCCACTAATTAATGAGTTGACATGGCCAGATTGAAAAACATATTTAATAGCCTACATAAGCTCGAATCCAATTAAAACATATTTTGGATATAAAGAGGAAACAGGTTAGTCCTATGATCTTCTTTTTCCTCAGAAACTTGTCTACACCCACCAAAAAACTGGGGTACCTGTTTCTGAGCCCCGACACATATTTATGTGAAGTATGCATGTTGAAAAATTTGGGGCAACAAAACATAGAGATTTATAGCCCAAATAATAAGTGACTGAGACAAGAATCACAATCAGCTGAGGTTTATTAAGCCAAAGTTTGAGGGTGTGCCCAGAAAAGCACAAACCACAGAAGCATCTGTGACTTGTGCTTTCCAAAGAGGTATTTGGTAACTCAGTATTTAAGGAGAGGGTGCATGTAGCAAAAAACAAAGGAGAGGGTAGACAGTAAGAGAAATATTTACATTCTTGTGAGGCTCTAATTAATGCTCAGTAAATCTACATTTCACATAGGATAAGGCGATCCTTTGGGAAAAAAGAGGGAGCAAAGAGTCAATTATTGTAGCCATCTCAAGGTAGACAGAGGAGTGATTGATCTCATCTTATCTTTGTTCTGCATCTGTAGAGATAAGTTTAGTAGTCCACGTTGTCAGTGTGAGACAACAGAACTCAGACTTAAGAATTTAATTAGGTTGCAGGCCGGGTGCGGTGGCTCACACCTGTAATCCTAGCACTCTGGGAGGCCAAGGCGGGTGGATTGTTTGAGCTCGGGAGTTCGAGACCAGCCTGAGCAACAGCAAGACCGACGTCTCTACTGAAAAAAAAAATAGAAAGTAATCAGTTGTACAACTAAAATACACATACATATATATATAGCCAGGCATGGTGGTGCATGCCTGTAGTCCCAGCTACTCGGGAGGCTGAGGCAGGAGGATTGCTTGAGCCCAGGAGTATGAGGTTGCTGTGAGCGAGGCTGACGCCATGGCACTCTAGGGCAACGGAGTGAGACTCTGTCTCAAAAAAAAAAATAATAATTTAATTAGGTTGCAACCCTAAGGGTGCAGTTGGCATGCACTTGTTTTATGGGGGGGGGCTACACATCCTGAAAGGTTT